GTTTGAATTTATTTATGCACACAGAACTGGGGTACAGGCCAGAGGTGCAGGGGCAGTGAGAGGCTTCACCAGAGACAGAGTGGGGAGCAGAACAGTCAGACTGACAAAGCACACTGCTGAGGGGAGCAGCAGGCGGGTCAGCAGAGGTCTGCGGTGACATGTGGTCACCTCCAAGGCAGGTGGGGATCGAACTTGTGCTAAAGTGGCTTTAGCTTTTCAGTGCTGCGCTTTTACCCTTTGTGCCACCAGGGAGGGCCTGGAACTTTGTTTTTAAACGAGTTTTATTTATTGATGCACACAAGAGCCGGGGTGCAGGCCAGAGGTGGAGGTGGGGGTGAGAGGGCTCCCCAGAGACAGTGGGGAGCAGAACATGCAGATCTACTGAAACCCACCTGTGAGAGGGCAGCGGGGACAGGAGGGCCCTGCTGCCCCTTATGGTCACTCCCTGGTGGAGGTGGACTCAGGGGCCAGGCGGCTTCAGAGTGCTGACACTGATCTCTGTGCCCAGGGGAGGCCCTGGGACTTTCACTTTTTGTGTTCCAGACCAGTGACTGTAGAACTTGTCCCTCAAGCCTTCGGCACACCTACCTGCTACCTGTGAGACCGTGGTCGGGTGCGGGTGCGGGAAACAGGAGGCCCTGGCACTTAAAATGATTTGCCGCCTGTCAGTCTATTCAAATTTTCTGTTGTTTCTGGACGTCTCTGGGGGCGCAAGGGTTAAAGTGAAGAAGCACAATGCCTCTGTCCTAACCACTGTGACCTGAGTGTGTTCCCCTGGCAGGGAGTGACCACAGGGTCAGCAGACCTCTCCTGTCCCCTGCTGCTCCCCAAAGCAGAGGGTTTCAGGGGGCCACCTGTCCTGCTCCCCACTCTGTCTCTGGGGAGTCCTCTCACCCCCATGCACCTCTGGCCTGTACCCCAGTTCTTGTGCGCATAAGTAAATAAAAGTTTAAAAAACTGCTATTCCTTGTTCCGAATTTTAAAATGTCTAGAAATTGATACATTCCTCCAGGCTGGCGATGTCGCCGGCAGAGCGGAGCGCAGGGGCCAGCATCCGGCCCTCGCAGGCGGGATCGCTTGTCCTTCCCGCCGAGCGTCGCTCTCTCGGGGTGAGGATATTTGTATCGTGCCCCTGTACTCGGCGGAAGGTGGAATAGTCTCCGTGGAGGCGCGAGGTACCGAGGTGTCTGC